TGCACTGACTGCAACTGACAGGCGCTGGTCCACTGGCCCATGTGTGTGGCCAACCTCGCCGAAGACATGTGTGACGCTCCTGAACCTTGAATGCATTGAAGGGAATGTATGGGGGTTCCTAGGGCCTGGCCTAGATTAAAAAATACAAAAATGCTGAAGCCAGTTCCTGGTGGGGAGCCGGCCCATGGTGACAGCAGTGGCTGAGAATTTTGCAATCACTTGGTTCTTTCCCTCACGTGGGCAATTGTCGGTCTCAGGGTTTGAGGTGTCCAAATTCAAAGGCATGGGAAAACCAACCATTGAAACATATTGAAACTTACTATATTCCCATGTTTTCCAAAAAATCCTAAATCTGTCCTCGATGACCAAGTGCTCAGGCATAACAATGCCTCGGCGATCAAGAATCTCTTTGGTTGAATCAAGTGCTCGTAGGATGCATGAGATCTCAGTTGAGGAGTCCTTTGGCACATCTGGCTCAACCACATAGTATGCCTCCATTACCTTAAACAAGGGGGCCAGAGCATCAAAGGACTAATGACCCAGTGTCAAAACATGTTTAGAAAATATTGGGAAGTGGGCTTAAGAACAGGAAAGAAGACAATCTCATTGGGAAGTGGGCTTAGGAACTCCATGCACCAGGCAGCCCAGCATGTGTATCATAGGACGCCAGCAATTGGATAAAGATTTGCTGTGGATGGTGTTGCGAGGAAACCTGGTCTTGGCCTGGTCAAGGCCGTCCAAATCCAACTTTAGGATTGAACCAGCAGGTGACGAGCCTTCTTTGGTACATGCTTGCTGGCTCAATGCAGCTAGCCTTGATTGACACTGCCTGTAGCACTGAATGTTCCTGATGTGCTCTGATTGGGCTTGGGTCAACTGAGCCCTGGATTCTTCATCGGTGACATTCTTCACGCGAGCTGTAAATTCACTGCATTGGGTACACCTGAAGGGCCCAACACAAAGCCAAAGTCCACCCCCACCCCAAAGTGGTATATATTAATATTATGTGTATAAACTGGTCATCCAACGCCAAATGCTACCAAGCAAGAAATTAGGACAGAAAAAGAATAGACTTGTGCCCTGCCTGGCATGTTGGCTTGTGTGCCGCATTTTCAAGACACTTTTCCATCGATCATCATAGTATTTTGAAAAGCAGCGGATTGCTGCAGCATCTGCTTCAGCCACACCATTCCCCTCACACCACAGCTGGTACATACCATGGAAGCCCTCCAAACTCATATGCTGGATGTGTCTGGGTTGCAGACCTCGGCTGTTACTTCATGTTTAACAGTTACTTGTAAACTGTAGGGTGGTCAAATGGGTTCCTCCATGACAGATATCACTGGGGAAAAGAATGCTACAGGAAGAAGAACCAATATCATGCTTCTGCCACCAAGATTCCACTAGGGTCATCCTTCTTCCCATTTGCCATGAGTTCCACTGCTGCACACACATTCGATTCAGCCAAAGCTGCTGCACGGTGATTCGCATCACACCCAAGGATCGAAAGATCACTGGCTTCATGGTCTCCTGACACGAAAGCCAAGAAGGACTGCTGGCACGATGACTGGATGGTTGGATTGTCACGCTTACTTGGGACCCCACTCTGAATAAACATCATAAATTTGGTACCATTGCCACTAGGGGGCCAGGGAAAACTTACCTGGGACCCCCCTCTGAATACACAGAATCGTAAATTTGGTAGCATGGCCAGGGGGACAGGAAGGAAAACTTACCTGGGACCCCACACTGAATACACATCATAAATTTGGTACCTTTGCCAACACAGGGACAGCAAGGAAAACTTACCTGGGACCCCACTCTGAATATGCATCATAAAGTTGGTAGCATTGCCACCAAGGCGCCGGGAAGGAAAAGGCCAGATGCACAAAGAGCTGCAGTTTGAATCTCTTCTACTGGAGCTGTTTCAGCCAATGGTTCAGCCTTCACCAAAAGGCCAATTTTCAATAAACACAAAAATAACCAATCAGCATGATCTTTACTGGATGGTGGTTTACTATGGTTTTATTGTATATATACCTATATACCTTTGAAAAAGATATCAAAATGGTATTGTGCCCTTGCCAGGAACTATGTTCCAGTAGACATATGTCAAAAAGGCATCGACTGAGTTGGACTTTTCCCTTGTGGTTCTGCCATTGAATTTCCGCATATCCGTAGGCAGGTTATTGCTCTCGAGGCCAATAAGCAACCGCTTAACCTCATCTTGTCCAGGCAAGCTAGGTGGTAGCACTATCAATTCCCCAAATCCTTTTATGGGAAAGATGAGCAAAATAAAACCATGTGCACAGCTCAAGTCTTAGTGGCTCGCTTCTGGTTGATGCCCAAGAGAATGCAGAAAGCTTGCTCACAAAGTTGGAAGCCAGCAAGAGCATAGCTCACTCGAGTGGCCCCATCCTTCATTTGAAGAGATTTGCAAAACAAAGATGTAACTGGGGTGTGAAATCTTCAAGGTTCACCACTGTACCCAACAACCTACACAGAAAGTTGGTAAGCAAACTTTATTGTTGGCAGCTTAGGCGCAATTCTCTCTGCAGGTAGCCGCTGCAAAATTCCCAGGATGAAGTGGTTCATGTCTTCATTCTTCAGCTTGTTCATCTCACCACGCAAGTCCTGGGCCACAAACTGCTATGTTATTCATTGCTAGGCTGGGCAAAAAAGGAACCCAAACTACCATGGCTCCACCCAAGATAAAACTTTTATGATCTTGCTATATAACTCCAAAGGTCTTCCACAACCTTCACCCTTGCAAGGTTTGAGCGGAATTCTGCTGCACATGTCTTCTTGCAGCAAGCCACAACCTTGTCCTCTGGAGTCCTTGGGTTGATGCATGTCTTTGTGAACCCAAAGTGGTGCAGTGGGCTACCTTAACATCAGGTTCATGGGAAAGTTGAAACCATGTTCTAATCACCAAAACAAGAAGCAGTAGCTCTTCTCTTGAAAGCCGGGGAGGTGGGAGCTTTCTGGCAGGAGTTTCTATGCGCTCTGCCTCATGAACCATCACCATTGCTCCAGGCCGCATGGCAATGGAAGGGCCAACATCATCATCGGGTGGCAGCTCCATGGGTGGAAGCTGTTCCTGGGTTCCTAGAATCCTTGAGATTCATCAAAGAGCCCAAAATGGGCAGGAAGCTTTGTGACCCATGAGGATTGCTATGGTTGAAAGATGTTGAAAGCATCGTTTGTTTGTTTGTTGTTTAATGGAAATGGTCCTTCACATGCAAAAGATCTTTGAAGAGGTTCCTCAAGGACCTTCCAAATGGGTGCCATGAAGTAACCAGTAACAACCTGGTCAAAACAAATCTGGTCGAAACCAACGATCCACCAACCCAGTCAAACCATTCGATTGCACCTCCAGCAACGCAAAGCTGGCAACACACCTGAGATGGACTTTCGACTGCCCTCTATGATTCTGTGATGGAGGCCACTTTGAGGGACCAGGAAAGGCCTGTTTACACAGAGCATTTGGAGGAAAAGGGTTCTCCCCAACTCCTGCACTGAAAGGAACCCCCCCATCATCATCAGTTGGTCAGCACTTAGGGGTCACATCTTTGGAGCTAAGAAACTGGTCAAAAGTTGAAGAGAGAGAGAGAGAGGGAGAGAGACCACAGGACCTGCTTGAGATAAGGGTTGTGCTTTCACACTGGGAAGTTTCAAATCATAGGGAGATACCCAATTTCCCCTGGTTGGGTAGACTGCGGTAGACTGGTCTTTTTTCCTTCATCCAAGGGGTTGTTACCTGGGATGGTCTCTCTATTTGCATACACACCAATATCATCCCACATCTCTCAACCAGTCTGTTTGTCTGGCTGCATCACTGTGAACAAAAAACTGTCAGCTTGAAAGGCTGTAAATCAATGTGAAGCAGACCAGTAGGAGTTGGCAAACATCATAGATAGCAGTAAGATTATAGGTTTGAAAAGTGCTTGAATAAGGTTGTTTTAATTGGTGGTGCAACCCACCTTACCAACCTTGCGCTCACCCCTGCTCTCTCAAGTCGAAGATTTGATTTAGATATATTTTGAGTGTATTGGGACTTGGCCATCTGATATCCAATTCAATGATGGAAACCTGAGAAGCTCCTGAGGAGAGGTTCCTGCCAATATTACAGCAGGTTGGTATGCCCATCCACCTTCCACACACACACATTGCTGGCCAGGCACAGCGAGCTCAGTGGCAGCAGCTCACAGCGGCGGCAGCCGCCACCACCACCCCACTCCCCACCTCCTCCCCCTTCAACCCCTTCCCTTTGGTGGAGAGGGGAAAGGTGTGGAAACCTGGTGGGAACATGTGGGAACATGAATCCTGGTGGAATCCCTAATCAAGTGCTTTTCTCCCCTAATCAATCGCCTTTCCTTACGAAGACGCCGTGCGAAACCATGCGAGTTTTTCCCATGTGTTTTGCATGACCCAGACCATCCATGGGACTGGAATATACTGGCATATATCCTATATAGATATTTAGATGTACCGTGTTTCAACCATTATGTTAATTTACAATGCTACTGCTAGTCTCCCATTCTTTTGAGCATTTCGACCTCATGGCACGGGCAATGCATGGCGGTGTCCTGGCGACGGCCGTGGTTTCGCTGGGGGATCCCTTCGCAGTGACAGCCGCCCAACCCAATAGCTATATAGACCAGCACCACCCAGTTGTAGGGTGGTTTATAGACCCCCCTGAATCTCCTGAAGATGTATTTTCCATCTAATATACAGTATCAACTCTTTGGGTGGTGCTGGTATAATAGTACTATAAGTACTATAGACTTGACTTGGCTTCGATTTTGTACCAGGCTGGAATCTTTACCAGGCATCCTTGGGCCCTCCACAGGACCATGATGGACCATATAACAAATGTGGACCCGAGCTGGCTTGTAATGGCTTGTACCCTCGAAACAGGATGTGGGTAAACGAGTCTTTCATGCCTTCTTGATGGCATCGCTCGCCGCGAGCAAGCAATTCTCCACTCTGCACATCAGGAGCTGGTGGGTCCGCGGCCGGAATGTGCCGACACTCAGAAAGTTCAAGGATGGGTCCAAGTTACAAGCCCAGTGGATCCCAGGCCACTGATGTTAGGAACCAGGGCTTCTAGATGGTTCAAGTTTTAGTCTTTGGAACCACTGTTTACCTATATACAACGACATTGGAAAGAAAACGACAATCTCAGAAATCAATCGGCACTAAAGCATACGCTGTATATATATATATATATATAAGAAACATAACACGCATTTAAGGCTTTCAAAGATACCATCTTCAAGGAGGATTCGAGTTGCTAGTTCATTTTTTTTGCAAACAGTGTGGCAACACCAGGGGTTCTTACGGTAAGGTTTAAGGCTAGGTGTCTATTTCACGCCGGTGGCTAAGTCGCTGCTATTTACAGTGCATTCATTCACCTCGAGATCTTCGAAGTGCATTTCAACTGCGCAGGCTCGCAGAATCTGGTGGGCCCGAGCGAGTGCTCTTCGAGACTGCGCTCTCGTTGTGGTGCATTGCGCATTTTCGGACTTGGCGCTCACTTTCACTTTTCGTGGCAGCCGTGAGGGAAGCCTCGGTGTTTTGGTGGTTCGAAGGTGGCTTTTTGTGACAGACCCGAAGAGTGTTGAAGAAAGATGCAGCAACATGCAGGAACCACCAGGCTCAGCGAAAGCAAGAAGACTCAACTCCGAGGCTTGGTGGCTTCCTTGAGTTGGGTCTCAAGGCCGGACGCATCTGCGTCTGCATCCATCATTGCGGCCTCACTCCCTGAGGACCTCAACCCCTAGATCTTTACACATCTCTCTCCGCCTCTAGACTTAGATCTGGACCTGGACCTTCACCCCTATCACTGCCCGCATCACCACCCTTCATCACCATCGCCATCACCACCACCATCAAAATCATCACCACCATCACCAGTATCAACACAGCCATCGCCATCACCACCACCATTGGACCATCACCACCATGACCACCAACATCGCCAGCACCCATCATCACCGCCATCAGCATCACTACCATCAACTTCATCGCCACATCTCCATGGCTACCATCATCACCACTATCATGAGGACCACCACCACCACAACCACCACCACTTGGGGGACACTGGACACTCGTTCTGGCGCGGACGCGAAGTCTCAAACCGGACTCGTCACTTGTGTTCGGGGCGCTCCTGATCACGTTGCGCGGCGGCGCAACTACAAAACAGTCGGAAGGACGCGGGGATCCTGCTGAGCGGAAAGAACAGTGAGCTGAGCTATAACATTTGCATAGCGTTGCTCTCAAGTCTTTGGCGTGGGGCTACGTGAGGGTGCAATAAGGAAGATTTGGAGTGTTTGGTCACGGACCTTACAATTCTGCCTGTATGTGTCTGGACCAGAGGAACTGCGCTGCAGATCATGCTTTTTGGAGTTTGAGTGACAGACGAGGTGGAAGTGGAGGATGACAAAAAGAGCACCTCTCCTGCGGGAGGCGCAAAGTCTCCCGCGGCTGTGGATTCGCCTTCGGACCACGACGGACGCGATCGCGAAGCCAAGCGCCGCCAGAAGGCAGACAAGCGCTCCGTGACGCCCCCCCACCGTTGGACGCGCGAAGAGTGGTCAAAGTGGCGCCAGACAGAGTCTCGAGTTGGAAGAGGGGGATGGCGAGGCAAACACCTCCGGCAAATGGAACATTTGCGGGAAGTGGATTGGAGGCGGTGCAAGTGCACTACGTACTACTACACCTCTCTTCACCCAGGTTACATCTCCTCATCAAGGTCATCATCAAAGGTGCGTCCCATGGGATGCACCAACACCAGAGGGTCAGTTCGAGATGTCGCGCGACTCGACACTGGGCGGAGGCCAAGCGCCCATTTCTTGGGATGAAGCGACGGCCCACGCCAACGACAAGGAAGAGTTGGCCGCGTGCACGGCAAGACACCGGCCCTTGATCCGGTCCCCGAGCCGGAAGTCCGGGATGAAGGACCGCTAGGGCTCTCCTGGCGTGCCAGATACCTTCAGCTATATTCATTCGGTTTGAACATGATTTCATTGATTTAATTGCTGCCTTTCACGGCGGGTGTCCTCATGAAAACCTTTGGTCCGTGAAGTTTGTCATGAAACCCATCTGATGCGGAAAAGCAGTCTTTGCAGTTTCAGATGATTTGCAACAGCTCTGGTTGCTTGGTACTGTTTGCTGAAAGAATCTTTAAACCCAAAGAACAACTCCGAACCACATGGTTGCTTCAGAAAGAAACGTTCGCTTGGAGACCCATCAGCCCAAAATACGTTGGCCTTAAACCATTGTCAGTATGCTCACCTTCGAAACCTTCACCCCACCCGCAGACTTCGACTCGAAAGCGAAACATCTTTTTGGAGTGTCCAAATACCTTCAGTAATGTATCCACCTTCACATTGCGACTCAATCTCCCCATGTTGTAGCGTTGGAATGCGCTGGGTAATGTTGGATGTATATACATCTTGCATCACCGAAGATGTAGAACAACAAAGATTATAGATGTAGAAACCTCAAAGCTGCTTCTGACCAAAACCAGTGCTGTTAGTGTTGTTGCCACAGCTTGTGAATGGTTTCTCCGCCGGCGCGTGCTGTCTGATGAGGGGGGCATGTGGCAGACGCTGCCAAGCTGATGGAGAACTCCGCTTCTTGATGCGACCAGCTGATTGGATCTGACGCCAATGGTCGGGGAATGGGATCACTGGATTGACAACCACCCCCTCAAGGTTTGCCAACTATTAGAGGAAGAGAAGTGCTTTTACTTTAGAGGTCACGAAGACTAAATCTAGAGGCTCCAGAAACCAAGTCTCTCATGAGGAGGTATCCTCAAAGTCTCTTCATGAGGGGAGGCCCCAAAGACTGAAGAAAAACATATATTATAAATATAGATATACAAATATATGCACACATGAGGTGGCATCCTCAAGGCAAAATCGCTTCATGAGGAGAGGCCCCAAAGAGTAGACCCAAGGCCCAAGACTAAATGTTCTTCATGAGGAGGGATCCGAAGGACAAACTCTCTTCATTAAAGGTTAAATCTTTCCTCACTGGAAAAGTAAGAACTTGAAGGAGGACATTAGAGGTTTGTGGGATGTTTATTGGGTTGGTGAGTTTTTGCCGAGCGGCAAGGGGACCAGGTTATGAATAGATGAAATAAGCGTTCAATTGCAGAGCTTGGAAAAGTAAAATAAAGCTCTATTGAGGGTTTTCTGGGTGTGGTTTAGGGAATTTGGGTGGTTTGTTTGATTGCAGACTTCAGCGAAGAAAGGGCAATTGCAGAATGCCTTGACCATGAAATGGAGAAGATGATCCAGAAGAAGTGCGTGCAGCTAATGCTGCACGTATCCACCACTTTGTCATTGTTTCATTGAGGACAATGCCAAAGCCAACGAGCTAACCATGGGCCAGCAGGAGCAAAAGGGGTTGGAAAAGTGAGTTTCACTATGACTTGGCAATAGGACTAGGATGAGGAATTGGTGAAAAGGTGTGAAAACAACGGGCTTAAAGAAATGGGAAAGGATGTTAACTAATTGGCAGGTGTCTAAAAAGGCCTACTTGGGGGTGGCTCAGTCTATTCAGTTTGCAAAAATTGCAGGGTGGTTCGCTCCAAAAATTTCCAAACTGTGCTAGTATGTTTGTTTGTTGCAGATGCGGAGGCGGACGAGACAAATTGGAGGAGATACATTAATCCCGTGATCCCCTTAGTCGGAAACCCAAAACCGTGGAGAACCAGAGATCTACCCCAAGCAAGTTTGGCTGTTGCGGGACTTGGGGTCACCCAAAAGACATTGAATTTGAACCTGCTTTGTTTATATACTTAACAATGCATATGCATCCTTATGCATGATAGCTGAAGGCTGCACCTTGAAGTTCCAATACTCTAATTGGAGCCAGCAAAGTAAAAGAAAGTACCCATGCGAGTCAATTCCAAAAGTCTTTCTGTAGGGTCCTGGACTCCCACCCGCAGCGCGTGGGGATTCACGTGTGCAACTCAATGACCATGCATACATACATACATACATACATACATACATACACATGCATACATCCATACATACATACATACATACA